CATGCAAATAAGGTGTAGAAGACACAAATAAAGGGATTGCTTGACAGAATGGATGCATGTGTGGATTCTGATAAGCGTTGTACAAGCCTCCAATAAAATGACTATATTTTTAAAAAAGTGATTGCTCACTTTTGCCATCCTGTTATATATAAAGTGATCCATCTCAGAGAAAGAAATGGAGAGTCACAGCCACTAAGAATAAAGAGCAGTAACAGTGAAGCACTTCCAAGATCCCTGTGTGGAGGAGGGGTAGCCACCGCAAACAGAATGGTAGGCTTTCTGGCCCATAGAGAATAAAACTGAGTGGCTATGGGTAGGGGGCCGGCATGAAGAGAGGGGTACACTGTGGGCATTTACTAGCACTCAAGACGCTTTCTAACACTTGTCTGAGCAGGGCAAAGACCAAGGGGATCTGCAGCTGAGAAGCCAGGACCAGAGTGAGAAGCCCAGGACCAGAGTGAGACGTGCCTGCCAGCACATCTAAGAAAAATCACCGAGGACCAAAGTACTACACACCTTCATGTTTCTGAACCTGACTTGTAATTTGGTAACTTCCCTGGTAATAAGCCCCATAATACTGGGTTTTGCTTTTGGGTTTCATGGGGCCATTGCAACAGATAACCAACCCAGCACAGAAATAGAATGCCATGGAGAAGACTCTTGACATCAGAATAGGATACTCAAGGTTGGAGGGTGGGGGCATGTCGGACCTCAATCTTATGGGAATCAGACTTGGGCTGAGGGGTTTTATTCTCGTGAACTCCAAGGTCAGCCACCATACCCCCAAGCTACTTTTTGTCCTAGGTTTAGCATGAATATACTATAATTCATTTTTAATAAAAGAATAAATCGATGCAAACATTTATCACTTATAGAAAAAATGTTAACAGTAGGTTGTGAAATAAGTGGTCTTTTGGAAATTTTCTACAATGAACACGTATTACTTGTATAATAAATTTTAAAATAACAAAATGCAGTCTTCTCTACATACAATAATCAATTAATCTCCAAAAGACTGTAAGACATAACTACAGAAGCAAAGAAATAAATAAAAGTAGGGTGAGTGAAAGGCTATGAGCCACAGGCTGCAAATTGGGTCATCGGGTTTTTTACCAGAGAGTTGAGCTGTGATGCTGAGTTTATCTATAAGTGAGGAGGCGGGGAAGTAGAGCTGAAGGAGCATCAAGCACAGGTTAAACTAATGAGTCCTTAAACATTTCCTTTGTTCACATGTAAGTACTCGAGAAAAATAAGTGGCACCTATCAGTTGAGTAGAAAGTCCAGTCTTTTTCCCACAGAGCTGCTGTTGGTTTCAAATGTAAGGAGATGGTGATTAAAGGCAGGAGATGTTTTAAAAATCAACGTGGCCCGAAGAATCATACAGCACCGGAAGAGGCACATTTTGATCTCCAGCCTTACAGTGTGCCAAATGCACATCATTCTTCTGCCTGAAGATCAGCGATTAGGACAAATGGTCTGTCACAG